AGATTATGCTTTTTGTTTGTTAACTGAATAAAATATTATTAAATATACCAAAGATTTTCAATTTTCCTATTAGGAGTCATTCCATGTAGCATCTATATCATTACAGATTTTGGGCACATCTTATGTCATCATGTCATGAACAAATACATACAATATGTTACCGCTAATATTGCATAATGCAAGCAAACGGAGAACGAGAAGTCAAAAGTTTACTTATATCTGCGATTCCGAACAAACCCGTTACCTAGGTAAATCTGGTGCGATATTCATGAATCTAGTATCAGTAAGCTACTAATATAGCTTTAGTTCGTCCGATCACAGACGGCCAACCTTGAACACCTGTTTCATCCCATTTGGCAACTCCTCAGCATGGTAAACGCTTGGTCTTCTTAGGTAGGTAGGACGAAAGCTAAGCAACTATCCGCAATCAAGAGTATCAGATCTATCGAAATAGGACAACACAAAGTTCCATGTGTTACCAGAATCGGCCAGTGAGAAAGTGAAAACAAGCTGTCTGTTAGAACTGGATATCTTTTCGCACTGTCAGCCGGGTTACCACTGTCGCCGCTAGATGCCGCCGATTCTGTGGTCGGACGAACGACAGCTATGTTACTACACCAAAATTAACGGCAATTTAGCGACTTCGATACAGTTCCAACTTTCGCAGTGGTCGACTCTAGTAACAGGTAGCACTTTTTTGTTCTTATTTTTAATTTCTGTGTTTCACTTACACGCGAGCGTCCAAAACTCCGACTTACCTACTCCAAGTGGGGATTATCGACACTTCAGGATTGTTCGATATAATAATAGGTGATGAAAATTCAACTGCTGCTTGAGAAACTTTAAAACTGAAATATTTTTAAAATGTTGCCGTATCTGCAATATCGACCAACTAGGGGTTCGTTCTTTGGGTAAATCGGATGTGTAGATCACGAAGCTGATGTTAGTTTATCGTTGAAATCGAAGAAAGTCCCCAAAAGATGTTTTTCTGCTCAAATTGGGCTTCGCGACACTAGGATCGCTTGGCTGTTATATTCGGGATCAACGTCCCAATTTTCCTTCGCCTGTTTACAAGTGGGAATGGTGTTTTTCTGGAGATCTCAAAGTTTCCAGAGATTGACGAGGCATTTTAAAAATCCTTGCGTAAAGGGTATCTCAACCAAAACCGGCACGGGTATCACGTATCTTGAAAAGTGACATTATGCCGATTTTTTTGACGTTATGTTGTTTTTTTTGACATTATGTAGGTTTTTCTACAAGATATCAACTTAGCACTTAGTTGTACGTGTTGCCTAAACGTCATGAGGCTTGTTATCTTCTCTGGCTCTGATGTGATGTAAGATCTGCTTCTGAGATGGAATTACTGGAGGTCCAAGCTGTACGTTGTATGTGTTGATGATAATTACATTGGGTTCTTGTGTCAAATACACTTAATTGAGCTTCAAAGCTAGAAATTAGTTGCTCATCCACTTTTTCTTATCCATTCTGGAAATTACATATACAAATTTGCTGAATTTCAAAAATGAGAGAGATAAGAAATAATTATATTCACTGTACTCTGTCGAATTACAAGCCATATACATGCTAACAGTAATTACACACAAGCGGGCGTCGTGATAATTTCCCGTAATTCTCCTCAGTTTTTCGTAATTTATAACTTTGAACATAACATCTCTCCAGAAAGCACAACATAAAAATAACCCGTCGGGCACAGCCAATAGATATACTTCATTGGCAGCATATTCAGTAATGATTTTCTCACACAGCAAATATCACTGATTTTATACACATGCACACCAATACACATAATCATCCAGATGCGATCTTGCTATTCAACCAACTTTCTTCTCAGAGATAAAAACTACAGACAAGGACTATTTGGCCCAAACGTAAGCAACCAATAATGCAATTTAGTTTAGTTGAGTGATTCCTCCTTAGATGGACGTTCACAACGATCCTAGTGAGCAAACGTGGAATGACTGCGCCCTAAAAACTACCTAGTTTGCAGGATGACGTCTTATAGCTTTTTTGACGTTTTATAGATTTTTTACATGATACCCATGCCGTTCCCTGGATAAATTGGATGCGTTGATCACGAATTTGATGTGTGAGTTTCACCAAGTTTGAGGTATGTCAGAAGAGTCCCAAAAGAAGTGTGACAAAAATGGAAATATATTTATTTTGATGTTTTTAGCGATTACGGCACAATGCTATACGAAATAAGTAAACAAATTGAGTAACTGTACAGTGTGCGGGGCTTAGCTTCCTGATCATGAACGCAGCTGATACTCGCGTTTGCATACACACACACACACGAATTGGGTTATTCGTTATTCGCACTCACTTCCCGAAAACACCAACACAGACATTGCCAACAAAAGGTAAGCTTCAAGTGACAAACAAGTTGTCATACAATGAGCAAGCCTAAAATTGAGAGGCTCATACATTGTCGAAAAAATTTCCAAGGCGGTGAAAAAATACTAAAAAACGTATCTCTGTGAACTTACACAAACGGCCATCCACGCATAGAGGCAGATTGCTCATATGTATCTGTGAGGGAGATGGATGTTTTAAAATAATTCTTGTAGTTTTCCTGTGACCCGTTAAAAACTGAAAAGACCTATAAAAAGAATTGTTCAAGCTATTGTTGGAATATATTGTATATGTCTGCGAAAGGTTGGGACATCTCAATACTGGAGATACTACAGACCAAAATATGTGAATTGACCTAAACATACCTCAGTGCAAAAGTTGATAGTGTCAAAGTTACAATTTTATTTTCTAATTTTCCCCCGATAGCACGAAATATTCATTAGATATTTAATAATATCTTTATCTTACTTAAATATTTAATAAATATTTGTAATAAAATATTTTTATTAAATATTCAATATCTTTTAACTATTTCAAATACAATATTTCTTTTATAATATTCAATAATCAATAAAAAATATTAAATCTCCAATATTTAGAAAATATTCATTAAATATTTTCTGCTACGGCGCATGTGCGTGTGACCCGGAGCGACCAATGGCATAATAGAAAGCCGGCCTGCGCCGACCCGTTTGCGCGTTTTCCGGCATCCATTTTGCCTGTGACTTTCACTATGATAGCGAAAATATTAGATATTTCACAAAATATAAAATTGATATTTAAAAATCTTTCCTCATATATTTTCTAAATATTTGAAAAAAATATCGCAAAAATATATGAATTATATATAGTATAAATATCTATAATGAATATTTTATAAATATGTAAAAAACATATTTATTAGATATTAAAAAATCTGTCGCTACAAATATTTAAGAAACATTTTTCAAGAATATTCAATAAATATTTGATGCTATCGGGGTATACTTAACAAGTATTTCAGATGTTGGCATGAAACTCGGTATAGGGAGGTTTTCTAGTATGAGAAACAAGAATCCGTTATTTTTTATGGCCAAACTTCTAGGGGGCCCCACTTACAGCACCATTTCGGTAAATAACTTGTCATAACTTTTTTGTGCTACTCTGTATACAACCGACCGAAAAATCTTATTTTCTCGTATTTCCACAACAAAAAAGGTTTACTTGTTAGAAGTGTCTACAGCTAATAGTTTTCGAGATATTTGTTTTTAAAAGTTCCAATGCATTATTTTTACCATGATGTTAAAATATTTTTATAACATAATAATCAAGTTGCTTTGGATAATATCTGAGTAGAGTTGCTATGGTTTCTAATGTTTGTCATGAATAATTTTAAGTGGGCAATAAGTTGTTGAACATCATGAATATTCTGATATGCATTTAAAGTACGGATTGGCAAGATGTAATGCTTTAAAAGCACGAAGATTGTACGCTGACAGATTCCCTAATACACAGCTGCTTTGGAGAGTGCAGCAAGGATTAGTTCATCGAGCTCGAGAGTGTGTTAGGCAAGGTGGTGCTCATTTTGAACAATTTTTGTAGTTATTATTTCCGTTTATTAGTTTTGTTACCATCCTCATTTGTTATTTTTACAAACCATAGCAACGCTACTCAGATATTTAGTAGTAGTAGTAGTAGCAGTAGTAGTTAGTGAACTGTCACCTGGCAGACAGACAAATACAGGGTGTCCCAATATTCCGTGGACATAAAAGTATCACCTACTTTTAGACTCAAAATAAGTTAAATGCTTCGATTGTTTGTTAGAGGGCGTCAAAGTTTTTCTTTTTTCACCATTTTTTCGGATATTTTTGGAACCGACAGTCCAGATTGGATGAAATTTGGAAAACGTATCTTGCTAGATGTCCTAATATTTGACTTTTACAAAAAAAAAAAACGAAACGTTTCGAGAAGGGTGAAAACTACCCTCACCCGTACATATTTTTAGAGCACATCCTATTTTTACTCCTATTTTTGTCTCTTACAAAAAGTTTTCGAGAAAAAATATTTTTCGGACTGGAAATTTCCTGATTGCATCAAGTGTCAACGCCATATGGTTACGTGCACGAACGAAAATGGTCATATTGAATACCTTTTATGAAAGATTCGCAATATTGCCTGTATTAAATGAAATTCTAATAAGTAATATCATGCTTATTTATTTTCACTAACTGCACTTAAAGAATTATAAAGACGCTTGGGAACCTCTGGATGCAACTAATTTTTTTTCTTGAAAACCACCCGAGATGGCCTATTTTATAGCAGACAAAAAATGAAGTAAATAAAATTCAGTGTCGTCCGGAAAAATGCCAAAAGATTCTGATAAACTTATGTAGGGGTAGAGGGAAGTTTTCACCCTTCTCGAACCCATTAGAGATTTTCGTGAAAGTCAAATATTAGAGCGTCTAGCAAAACATAAGTGATATTGGGACACCCTGTATAAAATTTTTACCACAAATTGTTTGAACTTTGAAAAAGGCCACCTGGGTGGCCGAAACATTCAATTTATATCATTTGGTGGCCAGCAGCTTTAGACATTAATAATAAAATACTATATACTTCAATATGCTGCTGGATATAAGAGAAAAATCTTACTTTTGTTAACGAAGAGTTTATTAGCTCGAATGAAGACTGAACAACAAATAAATATAAACAATATTTATCCAAACCAATGACTACCCATACAGTCTCGAGTCCAATCGGTTTGACATACCCAACACCAATGGAAACCGCAGCCTGCTCTTGTACAGATCATATGCATACAGCCCCCTGAAAATATTGTTAATTCGTTATTAGTTCGGAAAAACTAAACAGATGTAAGGGCTCAACTACGTACTTGATTTGTGTCGCATGACAGAATTACCGAACAGGGGTCGAAATTTATGGCATATATTTGTAAAATATTATCTATTAACATTGTTCACACCATTCAGCGCTAGTTACAGGACATCAGGCAATCATTTGTTGTGTGTTTACAAAGTTGTGTCAAAACGCTGCACAAGCTAAATGTCACCTGTGCAAACCACGCAAGATTCAAATGAGCTGGTGCTGCGCCATCTCTTGGTCATGAGCCAGGTAAGCATGGCCAATGTCATGCGACACAAAAAGTCTGCATAAATGGGCCTTAAGCGATCGAACTATCAACCGTCATCAGTGGCATTCGCAAGTAAACTGACCGTCTCTTTCTGTTGGAGTTCTACACTTTGGGCAAGGTTTAGTCAGCACTTTGATGGCCACTTTGGATGCTTCGTCCCATCGAGCGTCCGCGACTCTAGCAGGATCAACGCTATAACAACCGCCACTTCCGCTATTTTTCAGCCCATCTTCAACACTATCGCATTCTCCTATATGGTAGCCTTGAAGGCAGTTCCGGCAGAAAACATACTACAAATAGTCATGTGTAGTTCTTATCCTAAAACTGCTATATAGCTTTTTGTTTAAAAGCATATGTTTAGCATTACCCCACAGCCGTTGATACATGTGATCTTCATACAATCTGGATCATCCACTAAAATCCCCATACCACAGCCTGGCTGAGGACAGAGTACTCCCCCAGATCTGAGGACGAATTCTTCTGTTCCAAAACGTTGGTACTGGGCATACTAAAAAACAATCAGCAACAATCAGTTTCATTTTTCCGCTATAGATGCTTGTAATTATAGTGATTATATACTGGTCGGATTTGGTGGATATTTTTTTCCATTAAGAATCGACAAAACTTTTTCCCTGATGTAACATCTGAACAACAACAATTGATAATCTGTTATTAAAAAAGTGTATACTTATTGTACTTGAAGTACCGTTGGGACCGAAACGTCGTATAAAAAGGAATTTTAAACATATGTGGTTTGATTCGGCCAGAAAAACATGGGGGGATTAATTTTTTTTCTGCGTGATTTGGGACATGGCAGTTTCTCTTTTTTTGCACGGACGCTAAAGACGCGCTGTTAGGATGGTTACTATGGGCACGGCGCTTTGTTAATGAATATGATGGCGTTGAAGTTGGACATCATGGTTCCCCATCCACAAAACTGACCGCACTAATCCATTTGGATCCGGTATGGATGGTTCTCTAGAAATAGGGGCTTAAAAATAAGAGTATCATAACATTTGCTGTTTGTAGTGACTCAACATCGACTTTACATCACGCTGAACGCTTGACCAAAGAGTACGCTTTGATGCGATTGTCGTTTATATGTATAAACTAACGTTTACCTAATGGCATTTCTAAACGGGCTATATTTTTATTGCCCAGCAATATTGATCCCGTTCATCACAATATAGCGCTACTGTAGCTTTTCAAAAGCGATCTAACCGCTGAATAGTATTTTGATACGTGTGGCTGAGATTGTCTGTTGTCAGCTTTCGGCTCTAAAATTAAAAAACGACTTTGAGCTTTATTGGTAGACAATTGAATGAAAACCACTTTGTAGCATGAGTTGTTTTATACTCGTAAGTTATACAAATTCGTTCTTTTCTTCCATTTTCTTGTGATCAACTCTGAAATTTTCTATAATAATTTTCTACATGGTGGGCCATTAGTTGCGCAGATCTCAAGAAATCCTAGAAAAAAATTACAAAGCGTAGGGGTATATTTTTAATAAATAAGAAACATGGGAATTTTATTTTTTTACAATAACATCATTGAGATGTCAGCCATCGAGACGTACGCACTCCTCCAATCCCAACTTCAAATTCGTCAAAACGCGCTGGCACATCGCCCTCGGAAATGTGCTTGTGCTGGACAATCGTCGTCAGTTTATTGGCGTAAACGCGGCTCTTGAGGTATCCCCAAGGAAAGAAATCCAATAACGTGATATCTGGACTCACAGAATCCTCGACGTGATATCAGCTTTCCACTAAACATTTCGTTTACAACTGCTAAATACTCGTTGGCAGTATGGGATGACACGCCATCTTGTTGAAACCAGGTCTTGCTATGAGAGGATTCAAAATTATGCAGTTGTGGAAAGAAAAAGTTACGTAGCATTGCTGTGTAGTGATTAGAATTTACTGTTACAGTCTGACCTTGCTGGTTTTCGAAGGAATAAGGTCCGATGATCCCTTCAGCCGACATGGCCACCCAAACTGTAACATAACGCGAATGCAAAGGTCGTTGGTGTTTTAATTTTGGATTTTCTGCTCAAATAAAAATGAGCCTCATTATCAAAGAGAATTATTCAAACTTGGAAAGCGCTCTAACATTTTTTCGACAAACGCACAGCTTAGATGGTGGTCCTGCGGTTTCAATTCCTGCACTAGTTTAAGTTTATATGGGTGCAATTTAAGGTCTTTTACCGAAATCCGCCTTACAGGTGTTCTTGATATGCGAGCTCATCTGATCTCTTTCGGGATGATAACTGTGGATCGCGCCGTGCAGGCGTCGCATCTGCGCTTACAGGTTCCTCTGTTCGTATTGACCTTGGACGCCCCGCAGGTTTCAGATTCAGTGTCAAACCGGTAGACTTGAACTTTCTAACCCACGACCTATTCACACACTGTTAACTAAACTAGGAGTGAAACTCGCGCCGCTCAACAGTGGAGAATCTCCATTTTTGTAATAAACCTCAACACAGAACGCACGCTGCTCACCGGTAAAACGCTCCAGGGCGACTAAATTACCGAGCACCAAGCTACTTATCCCCACTATTTGTGTCCCGCTCCCGCGTACCTGTTACGAGGAATGCGGTTCTGAAATTGGTACGTCTTCCTGGTCCACCCTGTATATCAGCTTTATTTTAACAAGATATCTACACTATTCTTAAGTTGGGCGAAGCAAACACTAAACATTGAGCCCCATCAAACAATATATGATGTATCACTTGAACAAGAGCAGAGTATATTTTGATTATAATGAAAAAAATGGCGATCCTCCAGTAGCACTCAAAGTGAACATGTGGGTTCAGTAGAAAATAAAGTATTGCTACAGTAGCACTATGTGGTGATGAATGAGGCCATATAGCTACACATGTTTGACATTTCCAGCCTACTTTCATTTTATATATATATATATAATTATGACATGCTTTGTCTAACCTGGTTATCAGTGAGCAGCCTGAAATGGTGTATTTCCTTAATAAATGAATCTACACAGCCAGCTGGGCAAGCCAGAGTGTAGCCAAGCTCTGGATGCTGCCAAAACTGCCTTTCATTCAGTTTAGTTATACAGTATTGTCGAAAACAATCAAGGCAAGTAACATGGCCTTCTGGGCAAGGGAAAACAAACACTGGGTCACTAAAAAGACAATATATAGTTTTTATGCAACCTTGAAGCACCTACTTTAGTTTACCTGACATCTGCACAGGCTAAACATGGCACATTACTCAAATTGGGTCTAATCAAATATAATGGCACAGCTTGATCCTGTTCACCAAGTGAGGTATGTTCTGAACACTTGAAATAAAATTCTGCAAATGTTGGTTCTAGGTTATCCAGCAACTATTTTAAATGAAAAAAATAGTATATTGCAGTTAATAGTATATCATGATATAATAAATACATACATTTGCACAAAGTTCAGGACTGTTTTCACATAAGCCAGTGATTTGTTTAGGGATAAGAACGTCATTCCAATTTTGAGGGTCTGAATGTACAGTAAAAGCACCACTCTTACAAAAGTGACATCTAACTCTTAGCTTTCCATGTTTCAGTGCCTTACAAGTAGGACAGAAAACATAGAAGTGTACTTTTTTATCAACCTCTGAAAGATAAAGAACATTTCTTATGGAGTAAGGATCATATCATGAGGATATCAGAGCAACATTAAGAAACTTCTTTTATCTCTTACTTGTACTGGAAGAATCATCTTCGGCATTAGCACTATTTCTTGAACCATCTTCATTAGAAAACATAGTATCTCTTAATGTTTCACATAAAGGTTTACTTCCTTGTTCTTCATCTTCATCAATTAGACTATGCCTTGGCTGGGGTAATTTAGGTCGACTTTTTATTTTTACAGCATGTAAAATACTTTTTTGACCTAAATCACATTCCTTGAAATGAAGAATTACTTAAGTTTAACTTGTTACGAATAAACTATATATTAAAGTTATAGCAACTCTCACTCCATGCAATAGTAGGGATACTTGACACTTACTGATATTGTTATGTTATCTCCTAACTCTTTGCCAGCAAAAATTATCTTAACTTCCTCAGGCTCAAGGCCCAGTTTTGGGGCCACGATCTCCTTAACATTTTTAATATCCCATGTTGGGTCTAGGTCTACAGATATAGTACTGCCTCCACTTGTTTTTATATAAATGCTTAAACTATTTGTTATTGTTTTTTTGCCAAACCAGAATAATTGCAACATGCTATGCAATATGCTTTTGATAGCATTGATTATGGAACTCATTCGCTTCAGCTATTATTAGGTAGAAGCTCAAAATAATTTAGATTTTTTAAAATCGCATAAAATTGGGGTTATGGATCAACTTAACAATAAGAAATCAGCTGTTTTTTTGTTTTGGCGTTGTCAAAGCTCACGAAACCTCGAAACCACTGAACGACAGTAAAGTCAGAACCACAACCTTATGGCTTAAATTATTACCCACCATGCTTATTGCTTCATATCGTTAAGCTGCTCATACTCGTTGTGGCAAATGCCTTACAGCGTTGGACATATTGCCATTCGACACATCGTGTGGGAGACCGCTGACGGATTGCATGTGTCCAACGTTCGCCACGTGGCACGTTCTGGCTCTTGTCGGTAAATTTGACTCGCATCATAAGACGTTACAACGTTGGAAGCATGGTTCGCCACGCTGTAAGCTCCCACACGAGATGTAGCGGCGAAAAACATTATTTACTTGTTTGCTGTGATTGTGGTGAAGCAGTGGTATGTGCTTAAGCATTTTGAATTGAATACCTACCTATTCATAATAATGTATGTTCCGAAACTAACTTTTGGAGAGAGTGAATTAAATTAGTATAAAATACAAAGCAGAGGCTGCAATAACAACACTTTTTCATATTACTAATATTTTGTACGTTTCCCACGTGAGTTATGGCTGGCCTAAGGATATGTATTTTAGTATCAAGTGCTTACAGTGACTTCATTATAATGTCCTGTTGCAATGCAAGACTAGTTGAGAAATATATTCATTTGCATTTCAAAACTAACGAAAAAAATTAAATAAACATAACTCAGAAAGTACAGGGTGCCCGGTGGCAGAATTTGGATTTAAAATCTAAATTAAAAAAAACTACAAAAGGTAGATATATATTTCGATGATTATTATAAAGAAGAATAGTGCAGATTTTGCTTCTTAAAAATAAAGCATGTCATCTAAATATATGTATATACGTTGGAGCATCGTGTGGGACCCGCATTATACGAACGGATTAATTTTGTCAGAATGGGAATCTGTCCAAAATAATTACGGAAGTCCGCAACATTTGGTGGCTAATGAGGAGAACGTCGCGTGCTTTCATGTTTCATTGCGAAAGTAACTTTCCTTTCACCACCGTTCAAAGGGAATAGTGACGGAAATGACGGACAGAAATTAATGCTTTTTCATAAGCCCTAGACAACTTTCTCCCTAAAGTGTCTGTGAATAACAAGGTCACGAGGAGCGATCACGTGACAACTTGGCAAGTGTATTATGTTTTGTGACTTGACACATTTGTCACTTCTAAAAATAGACCCTTTTTAAATAATAAAAAATAAAGACGTCAAAAGTTATATCAAAGTGCGAATTTCACTAGTTTTCTACGCTGCGCATTTCACTGCATCAGGTGAGAGTTCGTCGTCAGTGTTTTAGGTTGCCCCTCGGGGCTAAAAGCGTGCTGAAGTCGCAAAATGTCGGTCAGGGCATTCAGCACCCAGCTATTCAAACATGGTAAAGCCTTGGTGCGACAGATATGTAAGAAGGAATCCATCGCGTCTAGAAATATCGCCCTCAAGATTAATGCTGCACAACAAACCACTCCGAAGCCCGCAAAGGTCTTCGACAATCGCATTGTCCCCAGGATATCTGGTTTGAGGAATGTTGGGGTACAAATTGGTCTCCAGGCAAGGAGGATCCTCATTGATAATGTCCTTAACAGGGTTACAAACAGCCTTGCTGCAGATCTAAGGAAAAGGGCGGCCAGAAGGTATGGAACAAATGTATTGTGGATTGCAATGCTTTCTTATAATGCTATGATATAAATTAATATTGATGCAATGTAGCTAAAATATATATTGTTGATAAATGTTCATTGTCCTTGCTATTTTGTTATTGAATGGCAACAATTGCATATGTATACATATACAATGAGTATTACAAAACTGATAAAGACTGTTATGAAAAAATTGATACATTCATCCTATATAGGTATGGTATAGGTACATTGTCATTCTTATTCTTTGTCATATTATTATCATATTGCAAACTTGACTTTACCATATGAGTTGTAGCATTTCTGGTACTTTTGAATGCAATTGGCATATGCAAGGCCATAGATGTTCAGGAGCAAGTAGAGTCCCATTTTCGAAAAAGTGTGTAATCATGATTTAAAGGTCCCCATTATAAATGTATAGTGGTGAATATATGATATTTGGAGTTTCAACACTGTCAAATTATGGAAATAAATCAAACTATTGTGTAAAATATCATGTTTTAGTTGGAACATATTATACTTAATGAAATTATGGTAACCATTAACACGTTAACGGCCACGTGCTTATCTGTGAAATTTACCACCGGGCCAATTTATAATTTTCATTGTTTTGAGATGCTTTTAGGTAGTATTGCTCAAATGTCTGGAGTATTTTGTGAAAATATTCGAAGTTTTGGAAAAAAATGCAAAATAAGGATCGGTCCCCAGGGACCGCCGTGGCCCACCAAGAAAACTATATTGCAAAAGCACGGTCGGTCCCGCCCGGCGGTCCTTCGGTAATGTCCGCCTTTCATCGATGAGCGCTAAAACGAAGCACGTGGTCATTTCGTTGCGTTTCAGTTACTGTAGCGGGTCGGTGCAGCTAGGCGTCAGCGCATTTATTCATGATAATGGATCACGTAAATGTTCGCAATCGGACTAAACAGTTGATATTGTTGTCAAAACTTCAGAAGTGTGATGAAAATGATGGTAAGAAATTACCTACAGGGATATCTTTCGGAAGTGAAACTGGCTTTTTTCACTTTTGTTGTATAACCCTGTACAATAAACAATTTTGTTAAGAGGTTAAGTTCTGCTAAATTTCAGAATCCAGCGAAGATGAACCAAGCATTTATGGCTCATCGGACTCAGTTGTAGATCCAAACTATTCCCCTAGTGAAGATTCTGTGTCGAGCGAGTTGGACAACGTTCCCACAACCAGCAACACTGATAAGAAGGTAAGTCTAAAATATTTTCCAAACATCTGTGTTCTAATTGTATTTTTTTTTTTAGAAAACACTTCCTAACGCTCAGAGTCCACCGGAAGTTTCAAATATTGGTTCAAATCTCGTAGAACAATCAAGTAGTTCAGATTCGGAAGAAAATCAGAGTAATGTGGTGCAAGTGGCAGGATGGACTATACCACAAGGCCATCACTTGGTTTTTCCAAAGAATTTTGTTCAAGACCAAGGAATTTGTCCAGAAATAGCAGCTGCCTTGCAAGGAGGTACTCCGTACGATTTCTTTTCGCTTTTTCTGGATAACGAAATTTTAGACCTGATGGTAGAACAGACTAACCTTTATGCAACGCAAGTAATCTGCTCAGCTAACGATGTTCCACACTCATCAAGACTTCATAAATGGTCTCCTACTGACAGACAAGAAATGCAAAGATTTTTAGGCCTAGTCGGATATATGGGTCTTGTACGAATGCCAACAGTTCGCCACTATTGGAGCAGAAAACCCCTGTTTCGCAATGAATTTATATCAAGTGTTATGAGCAGAAATCGTTTCGAATTGCTTCTACAACTATGGCATTTTTCTGATAACCAAATATGCCCTGAAGGTGATCGTCTCTACAAAGTACAGCCCCTTATTGATAAACTTGTCAAAAAATTTCAAACCTCATATACTCCTGGTAGTACAGTCTGTGTAGATGAGTCACTAGTCCCCTTTCGAGGTCGCCTTGTTTTCAAACAATACATCCCTCTTAAAACGCATAAATATGGCATCAAAGTATTCAAGCTCTGTTCTTCAGAAGGCTATACTTATAACATGAAGGTATATTGTGGGAAAGAAAAGGATGCTGGTGCTAGCGTTCCAACGAATATTGTTTTATCTCTTGCTGAAAATCTGCTAGATAGTGGAAGAACTATCGTTACTGATAACTATTACACTAGCTTAGATCTAGCTAATAAATTACTCGATAGACAGACACATCTTATTGGTACCTTGCGATCCAACAGACGCGGTAACCCGAAGGAAGTTACGCAGAAAAAACTTCAGCGTGGCGAAATTGTTGCAAGGGAAAATGAGCGTGGCATATGCGTAATGAAATGGCGGGATAAAAGAGACGTATTACTACTGTCTACTAAACATACAGATGTCATGCAAGATATTCAAATCCGAAATGAAACAAAATCTAAGCCTTTGGCTATTATTGATTATAATAAAGGAAAAAGTTCCATAGATCTTTCCGATCAAATGGCATCTTACAATTCCGCATTACGTAAGACCATCAAGTGGTACAGAAAGCTAGCTATAGAGGTAATTTTTGGTACCTGTATGGTCAATGCGCATTACTTTTATAAAAAAATTACTGATTCGTCGATGTCTATAACAGATTTCCGCGAAAGCGTTGTGATGGACATGATGTCACAAGTCCAAGGTAATATGAGTGACGATCAACAGATTTCAGCATCTAATTGTTCGACTAATAAGAGGAAACGGAATTCAGAACATTGTTTTAGGAAAAAAGAGGGAGCTGTACACAAAGTTCGAAAATATTGTGTCGGCTGTTATAATAAAAAAACCAAAGGTGAAATAGCCAAAAACAATGTAAAAAAAGTTAGCACTTATTGCAGTGACTGTGTTGATCAACCTCATTTTTGCTTAGAATGTTTTAACATATTTCATAAGCAATAATTATGTTTTTCTATGTTTACTGTCTCTAAAATATTTTATACGCATTTATTGTTCTGAAAAGTGTGAAAAATAAAGTATTACGCTTCACTTTAGTACTTTTATTTATCAAAAAATGATATAATAAAAAATACATGTGAAACTTGATTAAACAAAAATATATAAAAAAATTATTATGTATGCATCATCAACTGGGGCCAAGCGGTCCCATATGAGCCGCTAAATGTATTAAATGAGCGGTCCGGTGGCCTGAACAGCACGAAATAGCAGTCACCGACAGGTGGTCCCGAGGGACCGCCGTGGCCTGATGGTAAGGGAAGCTGGCGGGCCCCTGGGACCGACGTGGCCGTTAACGTGTTAAGATTAGGATTCTGTTTACAAAACTTGAGCATCCCGTCTGGTCAGGTTGGGAAGGGGCACTGCATTGGATAAAACGGGGATAAAAACATAATCCAATCTTGAAAATTAAAATTTTTGCCATAATCAATGACTTCGAATGGTGTAGGTTTCGCACTGCAATTTTTCAATTCATCTCTCCAGTCATCAGGTACCTCACTGTATGCTCTTTGGTTCACGAGACTCATATCTCTATCACACTCGAGGTGGAATATTACTTCCACAGTAGTAAAATGATTTTTCTTGGTAACCAAGTAAAGCAAAAACCGAATAACTGTAAAGTTTTTATTTTGCCCTGCACAGCAGTCACAGAAAATGGCAAGTTCTTTTACTTCCATAGGCAGGATGTTATAAAAAAGTGATACAGCATAGAACAGACATTGTCAGCTCCTCTCTTAGCAATAGATTCATATTAGGTATGAAAGATAGGAATCTTTTTCTCCAAATTATTACTGGCTGACTGCCTAGTTTGTTCCATGTGGGAATTTAAGGTAGCGGTAGGTGAAGATATATCAGCTTTTAAGGAATCACACGTACTACAAGCATCTTTTCGTGGATAACAGAACAATATATTGGAGTTATTTTTAAAGATTTCTCGGAAGGATTCATAGGAAATCTTGTTTTCAACATTGCCATTTTGTATAATTTTGCGATATTTAGATTTTTAGGTAGGTAAACTTTTTGCGAATCTGCCAAAGAATAATGAAATTGCGACATTTGAGGCTCTTAATAACCTCACTTTCTGTTTTGTGTTTTCTGAAAGTTTGTGAAGTCATGTGTTGTGTTTTATGTACCGAACTCGACAAACTGTAATTCCGTGTAAAGACAAAAAAGCCTTAAGACAAACTGGAACATCACCTATAATTCCATTTTCAACCAATCGGACACGATAACTAAATGAAGCATTATTAAACCTTGACTCTGCTTCATTTTTTCGAGGGCGTCTATGCATGACAGGAAGAACAGTGATAAGATCACTAAGATAAGCGTTTTGTGCATTAGTGTTTCCTAGTTCATTAAATTCACGAAGAAGTCTACAGCATTCAGGCTCAGGAACAGTAGTAAAACAGCAAAAACGTTCACAAAAACAATCAGATCCAAATTCGTGGGTAGTGGCGCGCAACGTTTTCATTACGTCTCTTTGTCTTCCTGTTTTTTTGCGTTTTTTCGTTTCTCTGTTTGATGGGCCTGGTTCATTTTCACTTGAAACTGAATAGTCACTATCCATTATACACAAAACCCGTATTATAAACTAAATTAGCGAATGAAGTGAATATTCAAAATATGAGCATATACAACACACGTGGACTCAATAGCTGATGCAATAACGTCCAAGCGGTATGGCCGATGCAACACCGCCTTTCGTTATGGACTGATGCCGTTTTTCCATACACGCGCAGGGACTCATGCCATTCCTCCCTGGCACAGGGAATCTTATAGCTGTTGTTTTGTGAACGTAAGCCCTTTTTACAATTTAAGATGCTGATTACAAGTTAGCATCAGGAAAATGCCACCAAAATAAACTGAAAGCTCAATTTAGCCAAATAATGGCTAATGCCGTTTTTCCCCAGTACCCTTCGTATGTAATTGTTATAGAAATATATGAATCCTTTTGGTATTGCAACATACATATTATAATATAACATGGAAGAGACACTAAAAATATGTATAACCTCTTAAAAAACACGTTTTTACTG